CGGATTCAATTGTTGATGGATTTTCTTTTGACTGTTTGTCAAACTTTCAGTGAAATTCAAGGCAGTTAACATATATACATAGCCTACTACTTTGAACAGAGCTTTCTGATTGTAATGAAATATCCGTTGGTTGAAAGCAAAAAGAGTTTTGATCCTCATTTTGAACTTGAAACTGTTTTCCACCGATATCTTAATAAACGTAATTGTTCGCTCTCAATTCATTTGATTTCAAAATAGGCTTTGTGCTCATACGAACCACGTGGAATGCCATTCTTTTTTTCCCTTCAGAGTGTCCACTTCCCTGACAGAAGAGAATGCAGTACTGTAACGAAGTTCAGTGGACATCTTGATCTTATTTCCTATTGGGAACCATTGCAGTGCATTTCTTCCACATGCTGAGCGGTGGCATCGTGAATTCTGTGTAAAAGCAACGAACCTTTTGTATTAGCTTACAAGATTGATCATTTCGTTCTCAATGTCCTTGGTTGCATTTATCACACGCGTCAGTCCACATCAAGCAGGGAGACAACTCTATCTTCGTTCTTGTGGACAGATAGAATTTTGTCTGCTTCACCTTGTCTATGTTTAGTATATGCTTATTTACTATTGAATTTCTCAGCTTACACTTAGTAGTAGTTATCAATACATAACATTTATATGTTCTTTGAGTTTTTCTTAGTATTTACTATTATAGACTATACTGTGAGGTAATAGTCGCCATTTTATTTTTTTTAATTTCGCACATGCGCATTATTTCTTTCCGAGTTTGTCGACTGCACAATGTAATCAGATCAGTTGGGCACCGTTTGTGAAAAAATAGGACCATGACGCAAATCACTCCGCCAGTAATTTAGAAACGGAATGCTGTACTGCTTACTATTCTGAGCGGAATCTCCAGTACGAACATTTGAGGGTATTTAGCTGTTAATACAAAGACAGTGTAGATGATTCAGAAAAAGTTGGATGAGTTTAAAGGTATTTAAAAAGTAAGACAGCTCGGAAAACCCATTATGACCGTTCTGATAAGAAGAGAATCCCCGAGTTTGTTGCTGAGGTCCTCAGAATCAACACGGAGGTCTGCATCAAGTGTCTTGGGGAGGTAGTATTTCTCTAGGTGAAGAGGGTGTCTTAGGGAAGTTCATATGTCTGGCAACATTATCTGCACCATGCCACACAAGCGGAAACACCCAGTCATATCTGTCAAACAGTTTCAGGAGATTCAGAAGTCGTCTGAAGCCGATGGCGATTTTATTGAATAAATTGACTCTATAGTATTTCAAGATATTTTGTGCAATTTTGGTAAATATATCTTTTAAAATGAAATGTTAGTGTTACTTTCATTCCGTGTCATTTAGATGACACTTTATTCGTTGCTAAGTACAAGATTTAATGAAACTCTCTGGATTTCGAATGATTGCATTTCCGGCAAAAGGATTTTCCATTCCTTTCCATTTATATGATATATTAAATAATAACACCGAAATTTACTTTACATCATATAGGCTTCTTTAAAATTTAATCTCTTTTGACCTAATCTACTTTGCTTCTTAATGGTAATCTTAGTGCTGGCAGGTTTGAAATTTTAGCTAATCTCCTGTACAGCATACACTAATGCATTGCTAATAGTTTCATCAACCTAACTTCCATTTGTCCTGGGTATGACGATAAACTGCATCTGGCACCAAGGCCTCTGATCGGGAGGTTTTGAGGAGCATGGAACCACCACTTCATTGCTGTTGTTGTCAGTTACACCCAGGATCGGGGTGGTAGCACCAGTTAGGGTCCCAGCTATGGGCAAATAGTTAACCCACAAACTTTGGTAAAATTACTATTAAAGTATAAAAATAAATTTTTATAGTGAAAATACTAATAGTACACTTTTTTGAAAACAATCCCATCAATACATTTGACTCTTGGCAAAAACATTCTTTACAAAAATATGTCAATGAAACCTGATCTACAAACTGATTTCTTACAATGAATGTATAGTCTATTCCTACGAACGTATAATAAAAATATAGCCGGCATGACGTGACCCATTGACATAGCTGTAAAACAAAATAAATCAAACCAAACCTATCAATCACTAAAACAAAGAAACCTATTAATTATTGAATCCAGAGTGTAGTCCCAAACTTTTGTCCTATACAACATTTTCTCCGATTATAACTATTGAATTACATTCATTATGATTAGTATATTTTATCTCATAATTATTTGTCAAACATATATGTATAATTAAACTATGTTTATCTAACTATTATATTAGGTGGCTAATGCTACAAAAAAGTGTGTACTGTGGTAAGTAATTCTTGTAGTGTTTAATGAAGAGATGCGGTTATCATTTTTATGCATGTTACATAATTGTTCTGCAAAAAGTGATGAATGAATTACAAGGAACGTGTCAGTTGATAATGGATTTGTGTTTAGTTTCATGGGTAGAAGCCCGAGACATGAAACCGGCGCGCCAGTGTCGAATTCCGATCGAGTTTCTTACACACAGTTTCGCACACATAAGGTTGGGAAATTTCTAACTGAACTCTATGTGGGTAATTTGTTCTCGTTACACTTTCTAGGGTTAAACGTTAGCTTCCTCTACTATCCTTAAATTCTGCTTACCAACGTAATTTTCCATCCCGATTGGGACTTGTGCTTTGTACAGAGTCAACCTTACAGTAAAAAACAAAAAAAGTAACATAAATATAAATACAATTGCCGGTTATGCTTCCTCGACATTTTAACGTTATATATATATATATATATATATATATATATATATATATATATATATATATATATATATATATATATATATATATATATATATAGAAATCTAAATACTCGCTCGGAAAACCTTCGGTGTATTGATTTGCAAATAAACAAGCCAATACCAAAGGGAAAAAAAGTATAAAAAAGAAAGAACCAAGAACATGTACGTTAATCGAAAGTCATTGTCCAGCATACGAGTCCAAGACCCAAAGAAAAAAAAACCTATTCGAGTACCCAAAACAACTAAATGAAGTGCTCAATACGAGTAGAGCAGACCTAGTTAAACCTGACGATCCGATTAGGTGAAACCTAGATAGGTTTGTCTGGCTCTCTTATTTATATATATATATATATATATATATATATATATATATATATATATATATATATATATATATATTTCGGAATATTTCTAAGAGATATGTAGCCACTCTATATCTACAGGCCCCACGACATATTCCCACTTGTTTCTATTCCTTTTTTATTGAGATAGAGAATAAAAGTGTAACGGAATCAGGTGTGGCTGATCATGTGTGGAGAGAAAAGGTACGGGCAACAAGTATATGAAATGCAGTCAGAATAACAGAGTAAACAGTGGAAATGAAAATAGTTTTAAATAATCCGTACATATATTAATATCTGATAACATCTCCAGCTTAGATTGGAACATGTTTGATTAGAAATATCATACATAATATTTCTTCATTTCTATTAGCTGCTTCATTTGAGAACATGATCATGACTTTGCACAAATTCCTAGTCCCTTATCATGTTTGCTTCCATACTATAGTTCCTATTCCATTGTTATGCCATCTATTTACAGAAGTTTGTTGCTTATTCGATTTACCGATATCCCTCTTGTCTGTAGAATGTCATGTGAGTGGCAAATTCTTTTCATGTGTTATAGACATTTGATTTAGATTTTCTGATTCTATGTACAATTGTCATTTTCATTGAAACTTTCTGAAAAATTCGTTTTTGTAGTTCCGTGAATTATATTCTCAGCTTTTCTTTTGACTCAAATCTTCTCTTCAACTCGCTGGTAATGGTCATGAATTCATTGGCATCTAGGAGAACTGATAATACATAAAATTTAACATTCATCGTTTGCTACTCTATTGGGACAATAGAATTTCTATATCACACTTTTCACTGTCTTTTGTGATATTTCTCACATAGTTAAATGTCTGTATTTGCTCTATTTTGGTAACTTCAATTTGCTGCCAACGATAGGATTGTTCGTTTTGTTAATGACAATGCAGACTTTCTTCTTACAATTGATTGACTTGTTTGATTTGCTTTCAGACTAAAAGTCCGAGACTATTTTTAGATTGTAAGAATGTATTTTTAAAGGAAAAATAGGTTTAGTAATTCAGGTCTTAATAATTAATGCCTAGCTGGGGTAAGAGTTTTATTCATACCTAATAAGAATTTGATAAACAAATAATTACAATGTAAATTGGGGAATCAATTCTCTATTGAAATCAATATATAAACTGATCCCTCAGTTTGTGCCCATAGACAATTATGTGTCACGCGTGATATACGCTTAGGCAATCATGTAACTTTCGATATATGACTGACGAGACAATTTTTTCCCGCATTAGGTTACCATTTCGTCCTGCGGAACAGTTACCATCCAAGGCATTAGAACCCATTCTGGCCTGCTATTTACCCATAGCTTTGTGGAGAAGAAAATGATTCATACCTTTCCCAATGGTATTAGCACGTAAGTGAATGTAATGGATTCGACTGGAATTCGAACTCGCCTCTTGGATTCCTCAATCCGAGCCGTTATCCATTACTCCACCGTGCCTCCCTACTATTGCTTAATAATGCCTTTTTACTGCTACTACTACTAATTATACATTTTTAGAAACTATTATGGGTTATGTGCCCATAGAAGTTTCTAAAAATGTATAATTCAGAGAATGTAAATACATCTGAAAAGACATGCCTGTGCAGCTAACCAGTATTTGATTTATTGATTCATTCATTTTCTATGGTATATCAACGGGTCAGCTAAAGCCAGAAAACATAGTTTTAGATTGTAAGACTTTTTAGAGGTAATGGTGGTTTAGTGATACAAGTATTACTAACTAACTCATAGCTGTTGAGGAAAGAGGTGGTTTCATAACTTTCCCAAGGCCACTTGCGCATAAGTGAATTGGAATTCGGCTACTCCATTAACAATTCCATTAAAAATATATGACACCATTCTCAAATCCAAGCTTACAGCACTTTGTATTCGCAAGGGCTCACCTATCTAGGTACTGACCAAACTCGACGTAGCTTAAATTCGGTGATCGTACGGGAACCGGTGATTCAACTTGATTTGACCGTGGTCCCTTCTTACAATTGAAAGTAATTCTCATTTTCATAAACTAACTTCTATCGAATTGCTTGCAGGTTTATTGTGAATGACACCAATACGGTGTCCTCTGCGTAATATGAAAGAAATTTACTTAAAATAAATAGACAAAACTTTTCTATAATATTTAATGAAACATGCATTAATGAAAAATTGCTGCCTAAATATACAAATATATATATATATATATATATATATATATATATATTGATGCATGTTTCATTAAATAATATAGACAAGTTTTGTCAATTTATTTTAAGTAAATTCATTTCATATTGTCTAATAAGCTTAATAACATTATCATTGAAAGATGAAAGAAAAACAATGCTGATACATATTTTTTAATCCTATCTAAGGTTTCTAATCTGCGGTGCAATTTTCGCTACTGCTTCTCGTATACAACAAAAAGTGACTATCATTATTATTTTGTCCGTGTATTGTTTAATATATTGAAATGTAATTGCCATCTTTGATAATGACTTATGTAAGCCAAAAGCATAGATAAGTTTAAATAACATGTATCAATATGGTGTTTTTCTTTCATCTTTCAATGAAATGTTATTAAGCTTATCAGACAATATGAAAAGAATTTACTTAAAATAAATAGACAAAACTTGTCTATATTATTTCATGAAACTTGCATCAATGAAAAAATGCTGCCTAAAAATACAATATATATATATATATATATATATATATATATATATATATATATATATATATATATATACACCCAGAAATTACAAATTAATCCGCATGTCTATCAATGGCTACTTGGATATGAGTGTAGGTTATGTGTCGGATGTTGGGTCATCTGCGTGCCTTTTGTCTTTTGTTCACTGGAATATCTAGAAGTCGAAGCAGAATGAGATGGACAAGGAAATCAAAACAAATTACCATCGTTGATTGAATAATGAGTTCGATTTGAAATAACCAGACGGTCACCATTAGAAAGGTGGAAACGTTATCACAATTGCAATCAACTGGATGATAAAATTCCGAACGAGTTAGTGTATAATTTTCTCATCTTAGAATACAACTCATAAATAATGTTTTAATAATAATGCCTGACAAATGATTTTCATCAAAGTTGGATAATAATTTTTATCAGTGTTTTAAACCATAAGCAATTTAGCATTTTTTTTACAGAAATACGGCATATCTACAGAAATCTTCGAGATAAAATCATAAAATGATTTAGAAATAGATACGTATATGGAATATACATATATAAGTAATAATAAGTCATATATGCTTGCATTATTACCTAAGAATGATTAAGTTCTTTGCCAGGGTAGAGGGACTTACTTCCGCTTATGAACCAGGGAGTATGCCGCCAAGGGTTGATCTGCTGGTAATAACTACTTAGCAAGACAAGTGGGTAGGAGACAGGCACAAATTTATTTATCTAGAGGAGCAAACGTAAATGAAAAAGTATAGAGCGTATAGCTGTTCTGCAGTTGCATACATATTCAGGTATCAACAGACTCATACATTGGTTTGATATGCAATGATCTATGGCCGCTGATAATTGACACTATCAACTACAGTAACTGTTATGGGGTCCTCCCCTTTTTCATATAAGTGGACTCGACCAAAGTGTTACTTGGACTGCTGCCGTTAAATACCCAGAGTCAGTCAGAGTGAGTAGAGATAGTAAGAAGACTAAGATTGTGATTGAGTTGGAGGTAGAGTAATAGTGTGAGGTAACCGCTTGTAGAAGTCAGTTACAAGCACGTAGACTCTAAGGAAATCCTACTTCGAGACTGTATATCGCTATATGTTATTTCTACTAACCGCGTTCCTGGATTTCCTAACAGTATTACCCTTTGTATTATTGTGTAAATACATTTAATTTCTTGTATTTAATTCTTGCGTTTGTCATTCATTGGAGACCGAATTTCATCTCGGAATCTACAACAGTAACATGGATCAATCAATTCTAATCGCCATTTTACGTAAGAGTAGTGACCATAAGTATTAAACTGTACTTACAATGTAAATGTGAATGCAATTGAAATGGAAAATGTCTACTAATTCCGGTAGGGTACCATTGTGTAATGATTAACGAGCTTTTCTCGAGAGATAAATTACGACTGAGTAATGCGATCGATGCTCAGTGGGTACTTCCTACCTTCGGCCTTGTGTCGCCTCTAAGCTATGCTTACCAAATCTTTGAGCATTGTCAACGTAACGGTTAGGAAATTTGTCGTGCTAGATTAATTGCTACTGAGTAGTGAGTTCGAATCATACTGGGTGCTTCATGGTTCGTGTCACATCTCAACTACGGTTTGACTTACGGCGTTATCACGGTGAAACACCGATTCCTGTAAAATAACTGAACTTAAACAACGTCGAGTCTTGTCAGTGGCTAGATGGGTGACCGCTTGGGAATACCAAGTTATGTAAGCTAGAATTTGGAGGTGATGTAGTGGATAATGAATCGAAATTGCTAATAGCTTAGCCGTGTTCTAATTCCAGTCGAGTTCGTTATAGACAATTATGCGCAAATATCCTCGACTCACCGAGCTCTTAGCAAATTAGTAAGACTTTTATTACTTAATCTTTATTATCTCTAAAAAGAAATCTTCCAAATAATAAGAAGAAGAACAAGGAGAAGGAGAGGAAGAAGAAGAATGATGAAATATAAAAGTAAAAATAAAGAATATCAGAAAATGGAGAAGGGGAAAATGAGAACACAAAGAGAGAAGTGGAAAAAGAAATAGTAGCATGAATTGATAAAAAAAGGTAAAAAGAAGAAGAAATAAAAGAAAAGAGAGAAGAAGAGTAAGAAGAAAAAGAGAGAAAAAATGCGAGAAGACTAAATAAAATGAGAACGGAAAGTGAAGAAGAAAAGAGAAAATGACCAAAAAGAAAAGACGAAGAAAAAGAGAAAGAGAAGACAAAGAACAAAAAGAACAACAAAGATAGAAGAGCAGCAAAAAGAGAACAATAAAAATTGAATGATTCAAAGAGAAAAGGAAGAACAAAAAAGAAAAAGAAAGAAAACGAAAAAAGAAAAAAAACAACAACAAAAAGATAAGAATAACAACAAAAAAAAAAGAGAGGAAGAAGATTGAAGTTGTGCCAAACATTTATTTAAAAAAAAAAAAAAAGTTTTATACCCTTAGGGTGGGCAGTATTAGAAAAACGAAGTGTTTGCGTGTGTACGACGTCGACATGCAACAATCGAGGCTTTTTAAAAGAGAACGGAACATCTACATTTCATAAATTCCTAATAAGAAGCATCGTTGTGGTGCAATGGTTAGCAAGCAACATCATGTACGACTGATTATTGAGTTTCATCCTCAATGGTTGCTCCGTGTTTCTGCTCTTTGCCACATCTAAGCTATGTTTCGTAAATCCTTAGTAAAACCATTTCTTCATTGGAAACAGAAGAATGCAATAACAAGTCAATGGTTTTCGAGGTCGTTCGTTTCGTTTCGTAATTTCTAAAAACCGACAATTTTTGCCTGGATTTAGGTCGTGTCTTGAATAGTATAAAAAATTATATGAAATCAGAATAGCAATATTCAGTGAAGTATAGATTGATTTTAACTCACAACCGAAATATTTAGTTTATTTAAGAGGAAAAACTAAATATAATCTAGTAGGCATGAATAACTGACATCTTATAAGAAAGCAAAAAAAATCAAGATCAAATACCCATTTTAAGTTTCATTTCCTCTTCTGAGAATAATTTACTTGGTCCTTGTATGTGATGAGTAGTATTACTAGACATTTTCATGTATTTAGTATCAGCAGTTATTACATAAAACTCGATATAAGAATACATTCAACAAAGACTGGATTTTTCTTTATTTCTTGAAACTTAAATATAACGGCGTTATATTCAACAATATATCATTATCTGACTTTCAGTTCGGTCCTGTTTACTGGCCTGTCTCTTAAGTGATCATGGCTGCGAAAATGTTCATTTATCTTTATCTTTCTATTACCATGATTTTATTGGTTTTTATCTGCCGTTGTTTTCTACCGAGATCTAAATGCATGCAAGTACTATACCTAAACTGGCTACTCTACACGGCGAAAAGGCCATTCCTGTTCTACTTTTTAACCCATTCTTGGCATTGAGAATGAATGTATTCATGTTTTCCCCAAATGCAAAGATGAAAGTAATAGATTCAGGCAGAATTCAAACTCTTCTCCCTGATTTTACTAATCGAGATGATAACCGCTCCACTCTGAGCATATATATATATATATATATATATATATATATATATATGTATCAAATATGTGGTGCAGTTCATTTTATATTTAGTAAAGTTAATGTCATTTCATTTTTAGGTTAATGCACCTTCAAAATTTTGTTAACGAAGGGATTTCGCCATTTTATATCATCAACAATAGAAATTTACATTTGTATGATTCATTGAATATATATATATATATATATATATATATATATATATATACTACTATCAATCATTCATATATATATATATTACTATCAATCATTCATATATATATATATATATATATATATATATATATATACGAATGTTCACTCAATACAAGTCTCGTGGTACTGAATGAGGTGTGTAATATGAATGTAAAAGAAGACAGAGAAAAGTGAAGATTATGAGATAGAAGAATTTATAGCAATTGCCCCGTGATTTGAAGAGGTTAAAATTCCAGATTTCACGAAAGCATGCACGTGGGAGTTTTATTCCACATAGTTATTGTGAATTCTCACAATCATTTTCATATTTGTTGTTATATTCTTAACCTTTCTCCCGTTATCACCCGAATAGAAAATCATATAATGAAAATAATTTCTCATCGAAAATATTTTGGCGTAAATATTTTTCAATTCAACAATTTACAAAAAACAACCGAATTTTTTTTTTCCGTTTAAGTATCTTTTATAAAATATATATCACATATTATCTATCTATTTAAAAAATATCATTTGACACCAAGCAAGCCGATAATGCCACTAGGCCG